GCATCACTTAGGGCTCAAATCGCAGCCTCAGCGCCAAGGCAAACCCCAAAGCAGCTCCATGCCAGCACCCTGCCAAAAATGCACACGCCACAGGAATTTAGAGAGTTAGAATTTAGCGGCCCCGTGCTGCCCCCGGGGCTGGTGCCCACACCGTGCCCCTCTGTGTTCCCCTGCCAGGGATCTGGGGCAGCCCCAGAGCCCTCCACGGAGGACCTGCCACCGCGGGCAGGACCACGCTGCTGGCTGAAATGTTTCCCAGCCAGCCCTGCCCAGGGGGGCACATCTGCTGCAGTTGTCTGACAGCTCCTTCTCCCACCTTGGGGTCGTTCCGCAGCGTGTCCGGGGGGGGTTTCCTTGGGGTGTTTGACTTACTCCCTGCTTCTCCTTTTCCTGGCTTTGGCAATGCTGTCTTGTCACGGCTCCTGTGCTGCTGAATCCCTTTATAGCTCAGAGAGCTGTCCTTGCGCCAGGCACCAGCAGGAATAAAGTCTTAACCTGCTAATGGGACTTGCAGCCCCTTTCTCATGGGATTGGGATCATGCCAGGACACTTCACCTGACAGAGCTATTAAAGTTCATGGGACAAAGACTCCACTTCCATTATCAAACATATCCATACAAAATAAACTGTATTTTATTGCCCTAAGCAGGAAGCATGAGCTGTGAGTATCAGTAACAACAGAGGGAAGGTGGAAAATGTCTCCAAAAGCAATGGATGCCCACCTTGCTGCCTGCCCTCCTGCCACCCCGAGATGCAGGGCACTGTGCCCAGGCATCGGCAGGAAAAACCACACGCTTCCCCGAGGGCCGAGCTCTTTTCAAACTGGTGCTGGTGCGTTGCTGTGAACACTGGCAGGCAGGGCACTGGGGCTGGCCGGGGGGGAACTGGGGCACCGGGATGGGGAAGGTGGAAAGATGATGGGGGCAGCACGACACGGGGAGGGTGAGGAGGCATCTGATCCCTTCTGTGCTGTCTAATAAGTCTTCATTTTGTTTTTGTCTTTAAAATGAAACAATAATTGTTCCTTATTTTTGTCTGTATTTGGTGTAATCAGATCGCTCCTACCACCAGAGCTCATTTCCTGCTGTTGGGTACATTGAAGCTATTACTGAGTATTTATTTTTCCATGGGCCTCTCTGTTTCTAATTACTTTGGGCTGATGTTATGTGATTGGGTTGAGTCTGCGCCGCCTTTAATACCTGCCACATGCTGGGTCTATTGTATGCACTAGTACCCTGACACATTTTTCAGATATTTCCTGCTTTATTTCAGATATTCCTTCTTTATTTCTGCTCTTTTGGGTATATGATAAAGCTGTTTTCTGATGGGACGATAGGCCAGAAGGGCAGGTGGACAGACAGCATACAGGTACGCAAGGACTTTTAGAAGTAACTTTTAATAGTGGTGGTTATGATTGGTAAAATCCTGTGTGTTTTGTCATTCTTTTTTTAATGGAAGTCAGTGAGAGTTTTGCTGCAGTAAAGGTGATGGAGATTGGTGGTGCAGAGAAATAATATCTCTGTATGGTCACATATAAATAGCCTATGTGGTGCTGCTTTGGCAACTGCCGCGTAGCTCTTGCGCTTAGGAATCTCTGGGGGATTTTTATTTGCCAGATACTGAAATTTTCCATGTGTGGGAGGTCTCTTATAAACTGATTTTATTTGGAAGAGAGCAGTGAAAACATTTTTTGAGAAATGGAGAAACATTGAAAAATTAAAGGGAGGGGGGGAAAATATACGTATAGATATCTACATATGTAATTTTGACTCTATTAAATCCTTGTAAGAGTTACAGTGCCATTGCCCTCCTGAGACCTGAGCTCACAGGTGCTGGCCCCGGCCCATCTGCTGCGCTACCAGTGCAATTGGTGCTTCGTGAAGATTATTCTTCTTTCCAAATTCAATTTCTGGCTTGATGAATGGGGGGTGCTGGCTAGCAGTGCTCCCAAAGCCTTCACTCGTGCCTATCCCCTTCTGGAAATCCTAAAGCGATCTGAGCACCATCTGAGACCTGAGCACGGGGCCGCGGGGACTGAACTCAGCAGCAGCCCTGGTCACCCGCACTTTCATGCTGTGGGTGCATTATTTTTCCTGCAGTTTCATCGCCTGGCTGACGCAGGAGCGCCCGTCTCTGCAGCACCGAGGAGAGCCCAGCCCCACCTCGAGCAGGGCTTTTCTGGGCTCATGTCCAGCACTAAATATGGAAAATTCCAACAGTCAATCCGGTCCATTTTCAAGCTGCTCGGGATCTTTTAGCTTTCAAAACAAGGAGGAACAGAACTGGTTATTTTACAGCAAAATTGAGTTGGAAAAAACCCAACTGGCATGCCAGGACCCCCAATGAAGGTACCTGGCAGCTCCCAGTGCAGCAGAACTGCCTCTTGATGAGTTAGACGTGCCAAAGATGAGATACACGCTGACCTCTGTCTTTTAAAAAAAGCTCACTTCAATTCTAATCTGGATAATTTATATTAATTACCTTATGTGAACAGTAACAGGGTCTGTTTCCTGCCTGCCACCTGCATTACATCCGGCCTCGCCAGGCCTGAAATACGTGAAATTATGGAAGAATCACTGTTTTCTCAAGCTTTGAGGTCAGTTTCTCATCTGTATACTTCAGCTCTTTCCCTCCACGAAACTTTAACAACCAACCAATCGCACTGCAAACACACCATTTAAACTTAAATCCCCCTCTTTGTGGTTTCTACACGTAACACACGTATGAGCGCCTTGCCTGACTGCCCAGACCTGAGAAAGCTCCTGCCCGCACGAGAGCTGGAACAGCCCACACGCCCCGCAGCAGAGCCGGACAGGAGGCTCTGGGTACGGCCAGCAGAGCTTGGGTAGCAATGCAGGGATAAAACAAAAACGTCTGGCAGGTCTCTAAAAAGGAAGGAAAAATTTCCTAAATTTATGAAGCACTCTAGATCCACACTTATTACAGTTATCAGAAACTTGGAATTTTGTTTTTTTTAAAGCTCACCGTCTTTTCAAGCACCAGGGAAAGGAACTCCTAGACTCCATCCTCGCTGCAGTGAAGCTCAGTAAGACAGCTCACACAAGCGCTTTGGCAGTTTTCCTTCAAACCCAGCCTCGTGGTAAGCTGCTTTGCTTGCAATTCCAGGCCTTGTTTTCCAGTCTTTTGACTAATGACAATCTGTATCTGCTAGGCGATACAAGCACACATGGAGCTGCCAGCCTGCTTCAAAAGGAAGGACAACAAGGCAGCATGATCCTATTAGCTCCGATAGCGTTTGTGCGTGTTCCATTTAATCAGAACAGTTTTGTTGTGTCAGCCTAGTGTAAAGTATGTATTGTCACATAAAATCACAACTCTGAAAACACAGGTGGGGATGTATTTTGAAATACAACTGTTAGTCACGCCTGTTGCTTAACTTAGTGCAGCAAAGAAAACAGACCAGAGGTTTCCAAATATTTGCAGCTTTACTGTGAAAAACAATGTAGCTTGTCCAACACAGTATCAACTACCAATACTGTAACTGCTTTTTAAAAGCATTGGCTATCTTTTAGATTTCCAGAAGAGAACACAGCTACTTTTACTTGTTACTGCAAAACTGCCTGATTTTTCTCAAATAGGAAATTCCAAGGCAGCACTCTGACATTATCCAGTGCCCCAGGTCGGGGGGCAGGACTTCAGGTGTTTTAAGTGAATTCCACTGAAGCATATAAAGCTGAACATACATGAGCTAGGAAATAATCCTTTGCCTTGCAGCCAGTTACACTCCCTGCTCCCTTCCTTTTGCTAGCCCTGAAACAGCAAAATGAAACACAGCAACATGGCAGAGATTACACCAGCAGCTGCTGTTCCACTGCTGCCTCCTCCCATCTCCCTGGGCCACACTTCGAGAAGGGCTGCTCAAGCACACTGGAAAATGACAAATGAGTCCCCAAGGCTGCCGACAACATTCATCTCCCCTTCCATACTTCCCATTTAGATTTTGGTAGCACAAGTGGGCGTCATGCGACTGTTAACGCGTTGGCTTGTGCTTCGGCAACTCTATAGTCTGTCTCAGAGGTTTGCCAACAAAACCAGTGCTGAAATAATAAAAGAAAATCATCAGGAAATTGAACAATTTAGTAGGTATGCTTCAGTCTAAACTAGCAGATTCATTCAAGCACAAAGTTCAGTATCAGAGCCTACATGTACCCCTGGTTTATGTTATTAAACAAATACGGCATTACTAACTCCAGAGTTCGCCACTGCACTGCAACCTAAGAATAAATATTCTAATTAATCACATGCAGAGTATACTAGCAGGTTGACAGCACTGAAATGCCTACACATGCAAAAGCTACCGCAACTGCAAGCTCACAAATACCACTTTTTCATAGTGAAAACTCATCAAATATCTCTTGGTATTACCGGAACAAAAGAACTATGTTTATATCTGGAGCAACTTGTGTTTCAGTGAAGAACCTGCCACTTGTGCTAAAGAAATAATCCCAGAAGTCAAAGCTAAGAACCATAAAACACACTGTCATAAAAGCAGAAACACATGTATGGATTTAATGGGGTTCAGTCATCGACAACACTGACGCACACCTCACTGCTTCCCTTGTTTAGCTAGGTGCTGGCAACAATTCGTCTCTACCTCCTTACTTGTCGACCTGATACAAACTTGCATTTGTTATACTCAAGTTTGACTTGTGGTTACACACAGAAATACAACCACCAATTAACAGCTTTGACAAATCACAGAAATATTTTTTAAAATGTATAAGCCCATTTTTAACTAAAATAATTAAACTTTCATTGAATATTGTAACATTAGCTCCACATAAATGAGCAGAAGGAGCTGGTACTTTTAGTTACAAACAGCTCTAGCATTATTTGTACCAGCATGATTAAACACTGATGTAACCACCCTACATTTGTACTGGGTGAAGGGCTCAGTTCTTTTCTACCTGGACTTTCACTGCTGCCATGTTGAACGGCTCCAATTTCTAGCAACAGAAGGAAAACAGCAAAGCAAATGATTCCTCGTGCTGGTTTTTAATTAGAATTTAAGAAAAAGGCTAGAAAACTAACCATGCTCTGTCAAACAGGGTACAAAATCTTTATTCACCAATAAGTTAAGTGTTCTTATAAATAGATGTTCTAGTCTTTTGTACGCTGCATTGAGTATAAAGCTTCAATTATTCCTCAGACTCTGATCCTTCTTCATCCTGACTGATTTGGAAGTAGCGTAGCTCGTATGTCTCCTTGTCAGATGCAACAACACGCAGCCAGTCACGCAGATTGTTCTTCTTGAGGTACTTCTTTGTGAGGTATTTTAGGTACCTTAAAAACAGTAATTAAACATCAGAACTTTCTTGTTTAACAACCCTTACTGCTGTCTGCACTCCACCCAAGACATGGCTCTAGCAGAGCAAAACCAAACTAATTACATCCAAAAATAAGTATTTAGAACAGATAATAAAAGTGTATTTTCATTCCAGATACTTAAGAATTTATTATTTGATGCTTTCTGACTCCATAGCACAATGCCAGTAACTCAAAAGCACCAAGAAGTGGTTCTAACTGGTGTGTTTGCATCAGCAAAGGACTGGGGTGGGGTGCAGGGCTGGAACTGTACCTCTGCTCAGCGTACTCGCCATCACATGCCCAAACGTACCGAGCAGTTTAAGGCTCCATTTGGTGAAAAGGTTCTTTTGTACCAACACATACTGGACACACATACATTTTAATACAACCCATTAAGTAATAAAAGTCACCCGTGACATGAATTCAGTATAGCTTTTAAAATATCTAGTATTATGTTTGAATTACGTCTTTCACTAGTAGAGTGCTACAAACGTTAGAGCTAACACCTTCTCTGCACGTATCAGAAGTGTGTCATGTCCAACACACCATTATTCAAAAGCCACTATCACAAATAAAAAGAGGAAACCCATGCCAACCTTTTAGAAAATTGCTTTTCAGATGTTACTGTGATCTTGTTCTTCAAGCGTTCAATGTGGACGGTGTTGCCCAAGTTTCCAGTTTTTCCATTGACCTTAACCTTCTCCTTTAGGAACTGTTCCTGTTTCAGTATTAAAAAAATAGAACACTAGGGAATGGCACCCTAGGTATGAACTAGGGAAGGGACCCTAGCCATATAGAAACATTAAAAATCATCGGTTACATACGTCCCAATAGCAAGCATTTGCAATGCAGTAAGGTTTTACAGTGTGTAAATAAAGAAATCATCCCTGTGCTAAAACATAATTCAATTTAAAACAGTTCTATCCATGGACAGGTATGAATCACCTTGTCTATAAAAGACATCTAACCTCAAGGAACTTTCAAGAAGTGCCAATAATTTAAAGAATAGCTGTTGATTTTACTGATTTGGAAGGTACATTTTCATCTGTAATTTGCTTATCGTGCTGTACTAAGGCTTCTGTTATGCTATGCACCGGAAGTACGAGGAAAAACCACGACTTACAAAATTCCCAGAATCAAAGATTCCATCTTCCACAGGGTGGGTCAAGTCAAGGCAAAACTTCCAGGTTGACTTTTTCGATTTCCTGTCCTTTTGCTAAAACACCAAAAAAAAAACAAAAAACAAAAAAAACCACCCGTCATTAACAACGATCCGCCCCCGAGCAGCTTCTCCCACCCGGCGGGTGTAGCCGCCGCGGCCCGGGCCGACCCCGCCTGGAGAACGGGACTCCCTGCAGCACCGCGCCCCGGCCCCGGCCGCACCCCCTCGGGCCCTCCGGGGGCTCCCGCCGCCGCCGCCGCTCCCCAGCCCTCCCGGCCCCCCCCCGCCGCCGCCGCTCCGAGCGGGGCCGCGGCCCGTCCCTTACCGGCGCCATGTCGCCTCCCCGCCGCTCCCGCAGTAAAAGAGGGACTGCTTCCCCACGCCGCGCTTTTATACCCCGGCCGTGACGCCATCACGCAAGCACGCGGAGGCGGAGAGCGCCTGCGCGGGCAGGGGCCCGCAGGGAGGGAGGGAGGGAGCAGCCCCCGCGCGCTTCCCGCCGCACAAAGAGGCAACAGAGCGCCGAGTCGCCTTTTTATTTCGTTTTATTTCGGTTGGACAGGACCGCAAGCGTTTCTCTTGCCCTCGCACAAGTCGCAGGCCGCGCCGCGCCGGCGGTGAAGCGTTTCTGCTGCGGGCGGGAGCGAGGCCCGCGGCCGGGCCGCCCTTCCCCACCCCCCCCCCCCACCCGCCACTTCAGCAGCTTCACCTCAGCGTCAGGCCCCTTCAGCCTGAACCAGCACCCTGCTCCCCACAGCACTCTTTATTAGTTCTGGAGAAGAAAAAAAAAAAAAAAAAAAAAATACAAACCCCACATCTACATCTCTCCCGCGGCCATCTGTGTGGTGGTGAAAACAATACAGCTCCCAAAACAGATACACAGTTGAACCGCGAGGACGACGCTTCCCGCCACACGCAATTTACAGGGTTTGGGTTTTACCATGATCAGTAAAATGAGTCATCGCCATCCCTCCTCTCTCCCCCGCATTTTGAAAGCCTCACCAAACAGCTTACGCTTAACAACACACAGCACTGGACAAGAAGGGGTTTCTGCGATACAGCCACACACAGCAAACATTGCGCTTTAAGTTCACAAACCAAGTCGCTCCCAGATGCCAAATGCCCCAGGGCCAGACTGCAGATGCTGGAGAGGCTCCAGATGCTCTCGGTGTGTCGTGCCGAGCTGTCCAACGCTCCACCACGTGCCCACCGCAACACCTCCAGGATCTACGCCTTCGCTAATGTTCTCAGTGTATAAGCGAGATACTTGAAATATCCTTAACAAGGTCTTTTTCTTTTTTTCCTGAAGTTTAGTTCTACTGTAACAAACTACATTCTAAATTACTCAACCAAAAAAAAGTGGGATTTATTGACTTTTGAATTCTGTGAGACTGACCTGCAGTAATCAAGAGTTTGAACTGTCAACAATTTTCACTTCTTTACAGATTATGTAAAATTACCTGTATTGTGAAACTACAGACTGTGCACCATTTCTGGGTACGTTGTGGATTAGAAAAACCTGCAAGAGGCTTGAAAGCAGTTACATTAAAACAATGAAATTCAGCTAACTCCTTAAAAAAAACAGCCCTGAGAACATGGCTCAACTAGCAAGAGCCTAGTTGAAAAACCACCATTATAAGCAAAAATTAGAAGGATCTATTGAAATCTTAAAGTATTATTTGCCAACATTTGAGGCAGGAAACACTGCAGTCTTTCCAATGCTGTAAAGTAGTAAGAGAAACTCAATGAATTGGAGCCATAAAAAAAATGCATTATTTGGAGTGGAAATACTTTTCTTCACCTCCTAGTCTTCACATCCTTTACTCTAAGCAATTGCATCAGTTATTAGAAGTTTATAGTTTTCGGTTTTGACACAATTTAAGTGTTAAGACAGTACTACAGAACAAATACATTGGTAAGATTTTAAAATGAAGTTATGAAAGGAGAATTTCCCTAAGCGTTTGGTTAAGGATCTTACAAATACATATCTATATGGACTATAGATCACAAAGTTTGTTGCAAACTATTCTGACAGTAAACTGAAACATCTTACTTTGGAAAAAATGCCTCAAATACATGTTCTAATTTAGAAGCAACTTTTAACCTTACTGAAACTTGGAGATTATGCTTAAGACTCATGCTTATGTATTACCTATGGGAAACTTCATGCATGACAAGCCAATGCTCTGCACTTCCATAGTGTTCGAAGTGCTTCACAAAAGACAACTAAGTATATAAGAACAAACCTATAATGAAGTACTTATTTAAATCTTGCAGAACTGAAGGTTGCAATAGAAGGACATCCATGTGTCCCAAGGAGGGCTCTCCCAGCAAGCTGGAGGTCATAAAACCTCTATCTTTAGATTGCTGTAGTACCTGAAAACTCCAGTCAGACCAGGACCCCACTTGTAGGAAAAGGACAAAAAAATCAGCCCTTGTCCCAGAGAGTTTACAGTGTAAGTAAATGCTTAAATTGTGGGCCAGTGGCATCAAATACCTGTCTTCCAACAAGGTTTTACAGGACAGACAGGCACCTGAAAGTAGACTAAAGCACTACCAGAACAAGGACGAGTCCAAGTCCTGTAGTTTTCAAGCATATTAGAAGTATTTGTAATGCGCTGATAGCATTAGAACTTGCATTAGTTTGACACAGCAGCCTACGACTTCCCACTTGACATCACACAGCTCAGCCTGCTGTCAAGACCATCATCAGTGGTTTCACAGTCACCTCCAAAACCAACAAAGCCTGTCTTTCAGATACCAGTTCAATGGAGAGGCAGAAAGGAGCATAGTGCAGGCTAGCTTGAACTATTAAGCATGCACTTCAAAACTCTTCTGAAGGTATTTCAATCTCTTGCATTTACAGCTTCTTTTTAAAAGCGGTTTTGCCTTTTCAGTCAAGGTGCTATTTATAGAGTTCACCTGCAACATGTATTGTGCAAGGCAAGAGCGTGTGGCAGTATCCTACTTCTGCCAGGTGTCCCAGGTAACTGTGCTTTATTACCAGAGTATATTTATTGCTGTCTTTACTTTCACTGGTACTGCTCTCCCTGTCATGAGAAATCTGTGGAAAATGCATGCTTGTGCCACCTACATTAGACCTCCCAAGATTTGCTAAACCCTGCCACAGCATGTACAAGGGCAGTTCAGGACAGTTGCCATGAGCCCTTTGGGGATTAAAGAGTACATACTATTAAGCTGAAAACATTTTAAGCAGTTAACAACAGCGCGAAGTCTGACTTTCACTGCCAATAAGAGTGTGAATTGTGCGCGCTGTCCAGGGCAGCATGCCACGTGTTTACAAGTTGTCCTCCATTCGCCAACAGCCACTGAAGCTTAAGGCAAGTTCATGAAACAATTTATGAATTGTGAAGAGAGGTCTGAGCCATGGACTAAGGAAGTTTCCCACTCATGAAGAGTCATCGAGTCTTAGAATTCAAGCTGAACGCCTTAAACAGGAGCAGGCTCGTTATCCTTCCGTAACTATTGCCATGAAGCCTTGTGTTTGCCTGTTAAGCTACTAAATAGAGGCATGCACGCGTGTTTCAATGACTCAGAACTCCCTCGGATAGGAGCTAGCTTTCATAACTATGTAGCAGTTTATTTACTTATATAGTTAAGCCATGGTTGTTCAGTATTGTCTGTCAAGTCTACATTTTGAAAATATTTTTTTTTTTTTTTTAAAAAAGAATCACAGGCATTTAGTTTAGGCTCAATGCTACAGTTTGTCCCACTTTTTGAAAAACATGTGGTCCCTGTGCTACAAAAATACGGTCTGAACCTGAAGATTAAAACCTAAAGCTGGAAGCACTGCAACAGATTCCCACGGAGTTTGTCACCCTTTTATAGTTTAAGATAAATACAATAAAGGAAAGCAATTGAACTGCATTTTTCTGTTTTATTTTTCAAGTCTGACAAAGGCCTCGAGTGAAAGTCTATAGCTTTACCATCCATTCTCACCTTTGTGTCCCCTTGACCTATCTATGTCTTATCTATCCAATATTCCAAATGCCTGCCTAAACCACAGGTAGGCTTTGACACCATTTTATCGTTACAATAAGCCAACAAGTTGGCAAAGAAGAATACAGAGGTAATACAGTTAAGTTGCACATGGCCACTGGGGCTTGGTCAAGCCAGCTGGCATTTTTGATCACTTGAGTTTCTTGGTCTAAAAGTTGCGATTGGCACCTACAGTTCTGCAAGAGTCCCAATCCACAAAATACTTAAGCTTTAAAAAAAAAAAAAAAAAAAGAAAAGCTACTTTTATTGTCAGTTCTACCTAAACATGTCAAGAAAAATACTATTTGTGCTCTAGGTCACTTTATAATCCTAGATACCTACCAGCTTATCTAAAAGCCCCTGAATACTGTATTTTGTCTGTTCATACAGACAAACACTGTTTTGCTCAAGCAAATAAAAATATATCCACTAGTAACACCTGATTGGTTTCTTAGATCCATAGCTGAAACCCACAGGAATGTTAAAATAGTTACAATTAAGGAATTAAAATCTCAGTGATTTTGAAAACTGCCAGTTAGCCTGCAACACTAATCCAGAATCCAGCACTGCTTTTTAACAATTCAAAAAAGAAATGAGGTTGCTTGTGAAGGCCAGAGCTTTGGTGACAATAAGAACCAAATTTATAGATCTGTGGTTTGTCCAGACCTGAGCAGTTGCCCGAGCCTGGTGATCCTCTTTATTTGCAAGGCTTTATGGCTACAGCACATTCTTCATTCATTGCACTTATGACGGATATCTGGAAGAAAAGACAGATAGGTGAGCTCCAACTCACGCCAGGGGAAGCACTCCTAGAAGTTAGACTTTCATATTTTAATATCTATCCCATCTCTCTTGAAAAGAAAAAACGAAGTTGAAGCCGGTAAAATTCAGTCATTAGAAAAACGTCCACAATATCTGTCCTTCCCACCAATTTGCTCTTGTGCTGCCTTCTCTTCACCATACTGCCTTGGCTGGCAGCTTGAGGTTTGTACAACGGAGGAAGATGAGCGAGCTCACGCAACAGGGCTGAACTCGCAGCTGGTGTGGCCCAGTTTAGACTACAGGCCACAGAGCTACCTGGAGACAGGTTTGCAAACACAGCAAACTAGGCTACTCAGACTACATCACAAAACTCTACACTTGGTCCCCATTAAGAAGGCCTGGAGGCTCCAATCCACGCTGTGTGGACAGCACTGTGAGGATTTATCTAGACATCTGAGACACCCCTATCGCCCTACTGTCAACTGAGCCAGGCTTCAGTGCCACATTGAGTGCCCCAGTACAAGAGGCCTCCTACATCTCAAAGGACCGATTCCCGTGCTCCTAACCTGCTCTTCACAGAGAGATACAAATGGTCAATATCAGAATAAGACTTCTTCATTGTATAATGAA